CAGGAATGATACTACTCAACACTGAAAATCATGGAGAAGAGCTTTTTGCTGACTCTCATATTCTGCCAGCCACTTCATTAGGGGCTTTAGCAAGTAAGACTATTAGAAGCTACATTCAATCTGTTAAAAAATCAACAGCTTCAATTTCTTTTATTGGAACAAGGTTTGGTGACCCTGCACCAGTGATGGCAGCATTTTCTTCTAGAGGACCAAGCATAGTGGGACCAGATGTGATCAAGCCAGATGTGACTGCACCTGGCGTCAACATCTTGGCTGCTTGGCCTACCAATATTAGCCCAAGCTTTCTCAAGAGTGACAAAAGAAGAGTACTATTTAACATACTTTCAGGTACCTCAATGTCTTGTCCTCATGTTAGTGGCATAGCAGCACTGCTTAAGTCCTTGCACAAAGATTGGTCCCCAGCAGCTATCAAATCTGCTCTCATGACTACTGCCTACACATTGAACAACAAAGGAGCTCCAATTTCAGACATGGCCTCAAACAACTCACCATTTGCTAACCCCTTTGCATTTGGTTCAGGCCATGTTAACCCTGTAAGTGCTTCTGATCCAGGGTTAGTGTATGATATCAGCACCAAAGATTACTTAAATTATTTATGCAGCATAAACTATACCTCCTCACAGATTGCTTTATTATCAAGAGGCAACTTTGTTTGTTCTAAGAAATCAGTTCTTCAAGCTGGTGACTTGAACTACCCTTCATTTGCTGTTCTATTTGGCAGAAGTGACTTAAATGCTAGTGTGACATACAAGAGGGTTGTCACAAATGTTGGAAAACCCCAAAGTGGTTATGCAGTTAAAGTGGAACAGCCAAATGGAGTTTCAGTTACAGTTGAACCAAGGAAATTGAAGTTTGGAAAACTGGGTCAGAAATTGAGTTACAAGGTGACATTTTTGGCAGTTGGCGGAGCAAGAGTTGGTGGTACCTCATCATTTGGGTCACTGATTTGGGTATCAGGTAGATACAAAGTTAGAAGTCCTATAGCAGTAACCTGGCAATAGTGAAAGTGAAAAATCTTTCTAAAGGGTGGTATTTGAGAGAAGAAACAGAGTTTCTTCTTCTTGATGGCCCACATGACATTATTGTTGGAAGTTATATCATGCATAATAAGTTCATTAGTGGCAAAGTGAAAATTTAAATCGCTTCTTGCTGTTTATTTTAGATATTGTTTTTGTATGAACCATTTATACACTTTTGCGTCATAATCATGTAATCCTAAATTTTATAATAGGCTTTGTATTTCTCATGAAGTTTCCTCAGATCTTCAAGTATGAAAGCTTATTGCATTTCCAGCATTTAATGATATATTGTTAGAATTGTTCTCATTTATTTTCACGTGGATAACAAATTTTGATTATATAATTATATATAGATAGTTAATATTAATTTTATGTGCGTGTGAGAGAGAAGATGAATCAAGTTATACATTATGAGTTACACTAACAATTAAACTATTAATTAAATATTTTTATTTCAAATTCTATTATTGAATTGGAAGCCTTTATTATATAGATAGATTATATTTATAAAATCTTATATATAAAATTATATATTTTTAATTGATATATGTTAAAATTGAAATAATACATACTTATATAATATATAAAATTAATAACTATTTGATTATATACTTCCAGTTATTTAATTTTGATAAAATTTAACACAAACAATCAACGTAATACTATATAATTATAATTTAACAGTGAAATTGAGAAAATTCATAAGTTATTAAATAGAATAATATATGGTATAATTTATAGTAGTACAATGTAATTTCTCCCCCTCTCTATACATATCTAAAAAGCTTCAAGAATTTACAAATCTCTTTGAAATATTTTTTAGATTATAAATTGTGTTGAGAAACCTACATAAATATTTTTCCATGTCCGATGTGTACGTGAGTTCTTTTACATAAAAATATGTGTAATAGAAATAAATTTTGTGGACAATGAGGGCGACAATTTCTAGAATCTAATTTCAAACACAAAGTTACTTTGTTTTAAAAGTAAACCAAAATCAAACAATTGGGGTCCAAAAGTGAGAATCAATGTGTCTCCTTGTAAGAATGCAATTGAATTAGTCCACTAATCTACTTTATTGATAACAACGTGTAGTTTATTTGTTATACTTTTATAGCGACAAATCTTCCATTGTCCAATGCTATTAAACTATATACATGAATTTTATATTAGATTTATAAAGTGTAAGAGCATAAGCTATCATTGAATCATAATTATAGTTTTATTTTATTACAAGACCCACAAGTACCGGTATTTTCCGGTGCCGTCCTATAATAACTCTTCGAGAAGGTTAAAATTTTCTTCCACTCAGGTGGGTTCATGTTCATGATATCCAATCAAATTCGTCCACGTGGACGAATAGATGCATCTAACGATCTAAGCAAACTGAAAAACATGAAACGAGAAGGTAGGTATTAGGTAACGTGCCACGCCAGAATTCCACGTGGAGCTTCCTTGCTCAACGTGAACGTTCTTCTTCTGAAACAAAGGTAAAAGTCTCATCTTTCAACTATGTTTATTCGTTTGATCCAATACCCACCAAAATCAACCAAATTTTTCGTTAGCTACTATATCATCAATCTCAAATATCACCACCCTTAAACCGCTGCAATTCACTTGGTTTTTTTTTTTTTTTAATCTCTAATCTTTTGTTTCAATTGGAATCCAATTGACATGATTCTTGTTTGAATCACTCCGATTTGATGTTATGCATGACCCATTTGAGTTTTGAATTGAAGATCAAATTTTGATTTTAGCTGTATTATCACAAGGGTGATAAGTTTTGTGTTGAATTGAATGGATAATTACGGGTCATCTTCTCCATACCGGTATCCAAACCCTTATATGTACCCTCCCAGTCCCAACCCTCATCAACCGTACCCTCCTCCACCAGGTTCATCTCCTGATCCATATGCACATGCTCCTCCTTATCATCCACATCCTTACCATTCTTCACATTCCTTCAACTATTCATACCATGCACCTCCTAGATCTTCCTCACATTCTGGCAAATTTGAGTATTCCTACCCCCCTCCTGCTGCCCCTTTGAACTTTCCCCACCCTCCACCATCTTATGCTCAACCTCCCTCTTATCCTTATCCTTACCATGTTCCTCCACCAAATCATGGTCCTCCCAGGCCTTCCCTTTCACACCATGCTAGCTTCCAACATGGATCACCTCATTACTATTATCCTCCAAACGATGCCTTTTCGGCTCCCGAAGACCGTCCTGACCTCCATTTACGCAACAATAGCTTCTCCGGTCCCTACCGGCAGGAGAGCACAATCTCTACGGGAGGTGGAGTGCCACAAGCTAGTGACAATTCCAAGCCTCCTCAGGGCTCGGCTTACCCGCCGTTGGATGATCTTATGAGCAATGTTCGGTTGTCTGATGCCCAGGCAAGCCAGCAAACTGCTCCTGCATCGCCGCCTGCACCTGCCGGGCAGCCGATGATGATACATTCCATGTCAGTTTCAAAGATACAACAGAAGAAAGAGGAGTTTTATGGACATGCAAATAACTCCTTCTCGGGGTGGGGATCTTCCTACCACAGTCGGATGGATTCGGGCAGACTCTCGGATTTTTCAGGATCATTTAATGATTCAATGCTTAGTCAGAGCTTGCAGATTGTTCCAGTGCAGAGTAAGGGATCCTTGAGAGTTTTGCTCCTACATGGAAATTTAGATATTTGGGTCCATGAAGCCAAAAATCTTCCAAATATGGACATGTTTCACAAAACATTAGGGGATATGTTTGGTAAATTACCTGGTAGTGTGAGCAATAAAATTGAAGGAACTATGCATAAGAAGATTACTAGTGATCCTTATGTGTCAATTTCAGTATGCAATTCTGTACTTGGGAGGACTTATGTAATTAGCAACTCTGAAAACCCTGTTTGGTTGCAACATTTCTATGTTCCTGTTGCACATCATGCTGCTGAAGTGCACTTTGTTGTTAAAGACAATGATGTTGTGGGTTCACAGCTCATTGGCATTGTGGCAATTCCAGTGGAACAAATATACTCAGGAGAAGTAGTTGAAGGAACCTACCCTGTCCTCAATAATAATGGGAAGCCTTGTAAGCAAGGTGCTGTCTTGAGCCTATCCATTCAGTACATCCCTATGGAGAAACTGAGCATTTATCACCAAGGAGTTGGAGCAGGGCCTGAATACATTGGGGTTCCTGGCACGTATTTTCCTTTGAGAAAAGGTGGTACTGTTACTCTGTATCAAGACGCTCATGTTCCAGATGGCACCCTCCCTAACATGTTGCTTGACAATGGCATGTATTATGTGAATGGAAAGTGTTGGCTTGATATCTTTGAAGCCATAAGTCAAGCTCGGCGTTTGATTTATATTACAGGGTGGTCAGTGTGGCACAAAGTAAGGTTGATTAGGGATGATGCTGGTTGTGCTTCAGACTATACCTTGGGTGATGTTCTAAGGACAAAGTCACAGGAAGGAGTAAGAGTGCTTCTCCTTATCTGGGATGATCCTACGTCAAGAAGCATTTTAGGTTATAAAACAGTAAGTAATACAAATTTTTTTTTTCTGTTACATATCTTTTCATTTCTATACTTGGAAAGGCTGGTAGGATTTGATTGGCAAATGTCTGCATATGCACACCCTTGCTTTATGCTGTTATCATTGATACACCTTTTATATCTGTTAGAATAGTGGATTAAGCCTAACTCAACCCTACAAAACCGGCTTGTAAGGTAAGGGTTGTTTTCCACTTATATATTATTTAATTGCCTAATCTCTAGTCGATGTGGGACTTGGGTTTTTCCCAATACACCCTCCTCACGTCCAGCACTATTGGGCTTGGTACGTGGATAAATGGTAGGTGGCCCTTTTTCAATGATCTAGGATTGGCGGGACTTGAAATACACCCCTTCATGCCCATGGTGCATGTATCAATGAATAGTAGGTGGCTCTTTTTTAATGACGGGACTTGAATACACCCCTCATGCCCATGGTGCATGTATCAATGAATGTGGGTGGCCCATTTTTAAGAATCTAGGATAGCTTTGATACCATCTTAGAATAGTGGATTAAGCCTAACTCAACCCTACAAAACCGGCTTGTATGGTGAGGGTTGCTTTCCACTTATATACTATTTAATTGCCTAATCTCTAGTTGATGTGGGACTTGGGTTTTTCCCAATACACCCTCCTCACGTCCAGCACTATTGGGCTTGGTACGTGGATAAATGGTAGGTGGCCCTTTTTCAATGATCTAGGATTGGCGGACTTGAAATACACCCCTTCATGCCCATGGTGCATGTATCAATGAATAGTAGGTGGCCCTTTTTTAATGACGGGACTTGGGTTTTTTCCCAATACACCCCCTCATGCCTATGGCACATGCATCAATGGTGGGTGGCCCATTTAAAGTGGATCTAAATGGCTCTGATACCATGTTAGAATAGTGGATTAAGCCTAACTCAACCCTACAAAACCGGCTTGTAAGGTGAGGGTTGCTTTCCACTTATATACTATT